CACTTTTCTCTTAACAGAAGGACTTTTCTCTTTTCAGTGCATTATCATTATTGTTTGTAAGAGGACTTTTCTATTTTGCAGCGGAACTTTCTTTTTACTTAGTGGACTGTATATGGACTTTACTATCTTTATGCGTCACTTTTCTCTTAACAGGACTTTTCGAGCACAATTCGATTCATTCGACTATTTTATCTATCTATGAAAATAGAAGAATATTGAGATAAAAATATAATTGAATGATTTGACACATAATCATTTATTTCAGGGTAATAATAATCAGCCGAATTTTCGGCCTACGGCCTGCGTAAGCCTACGAAATTAATTGATAACAGGAAAACAGACGAATAATATTTTTTAGGCTCGCGTACAGTCAATGTCCCTAATAACAACACTAGAAAAATTTTTTTTCTTGTCTGACTCGGTTCTCGACTATTTTACACTCGAATCAAAATTTTTTTATATTTGCATAATCTTCAGAGTCTCCTCTTTCAAATGATGTATTAATGGTCTTTCTTCAAAATGTAATGGAGGAGAAATCATCGGTCTATGATTATGAACTGCTTCTGTTGTTATCAGGGGCACTTTCCCTAATTACAACAGACAGCTAAATTTTGTCCCTAACAACAACACTTAAGCAAAATTTAAGCAAAATCAGAATTTTTGAGAGAAAATGCTTTTTTTTGCACGTTTTCTTTGGAAAATAAGCAAAGGTTCCGCTGACAACTTTGTAGAGCACGTCAAACTCTATCTAAATCTAAAAGTTCATGAGAAAAAAAAATTCCATTAATGAGATACAAAATCTAAAAGTAAGATGTCTAACAGTGTCCAAAAAATAGGTGACCCTAATAACAACACCAAGCTAATTTTTGTCCCTAATAACAACACTCTCACCAAAATTGGCGTATAAGGGTGCATAAAGCAAAAATTATTTTGTTTTTTAATAGGCCGATGAACTTTGATTGTTTTCCATAACTTTATTTTATATTTCATGAAAAGTCGTTTTTTCGTGCCTGGGGTCCCCCTCAGGAATTCGAAAAAAATTTTTTGTCTTCATTCCAACTGTCACATTTAAAAATCGATAGAACTCAGTGTCCTGATCCTAAATATCGTATTACTTTTGAAAATTTGTCGAACAATAAGAAAGATTTTGAGGATAAAAGATAGGCCTAAAAACCAGTTTTTTGCCTATAAGACCATTAATATTTGTCTAAAACTCATTGGGAATGGGCTCATTCGACGCAGAATTTTTTTCTCTATCAGAATACGTATAAGATATTCCAAGAACATTATGTTTTCCAATCGATAAGCATCGAACACCGGGCCCAATGGGTCCCTATAGTCATTTAAAGTGATTTTTTGACATTTTCTTTAATTCTGAATTTCAAGTCAAAAGCAGTTTTATTTGAAAGAACTCTTTGAATTATGTTTGTAGTGCAAAAATCTCGGTGGTTCACCCGAGTAGATTAGATTTTCACAGAGGCAGCAAAATCACTTTAAATGACTATAGGGACCCATTGGGTGTGGGTGTGGGTATGGGTGTGAATGATGGAAATACCCACACCCACACCCACACACACCCACCCATACCCACACCCACACACCCACACCCCACACCCACACCCACACCCACACCCCACACCCACACCCACACCCACATCCACACACCCACATCCACACACCCACACCCACACACCCACACCCACACCCACCCACACCCACACCCACACCTCACACCCACACCCTACGTTTGGTGACATTTTTAATAAATGATCATTTATTAAAAATGTCGCCAAACGTATCAGCAATTTGAATTCCTCTTCAGCAAAATTCTGAATCAAGGTTTATAAAATTTTATTAATTTCACTCAATATATATTCTCCGTTCAAAAAAAATTCAGATTAAAAATTTCATATAGATGATCGGTAAACCTATTTCCTACCCAAGTAGTGTTGTGTACTCCTTTTTCTATTTTGTTCTGTTCTGTCACTGTAACTGTATGTGTGATTGCGTCACAATTTATTGTTCTGTTAGTCAATGTAATTTCACAACTGCAATTTAAAAACAATATATAAAGATGTTTTAATTCTTTTCCTTGCTGAGGTCCGAAGTGTATGACTCTGTTCAGATATTTTATATGTTGTACACTACAAAGATTTGTTTGTTCATTTCTGCTGACTTGTAATATTTGAAAATAGCTTCGAGTTATCTTTGCGTTACTATGACTCTTTTACGAAATGAGACGAAAATACTCCCAATGAGTCTCTTTTCACGTTACCTCGTATACATAACCATGACCTCATTCTTTTTTTAATCTTTCACCGAGTAAAAAATATTTTACTGGTTTGAGTACGAAAAAGTTGAACCAAAAATGGAAAAAACACAATAGAACAGAATTTATTTAATGTTTTTTTTATTTCACTTCGAATTCGGTGTATTATGCAATCAGAAAGTCGTCAATATCAAACGAGAGATCGGTATGAATGTGAGGTTGGTGTGGATGTAAATCTTCGATTAGCCCACATCCACACTCTATTCTCTTTTGATCAAAATGTTTTTTATATATAGAAGAGTATAAATCAATATAATTAAAGTCTTATCGATCAGAATAATTTGAAACTGTTAATCAATTTGTCAAATTGACATGCAAATATTTTCAAAGAGCATATGTCAATCAACATAATTGATTAATTATACGAAAATAATCAACTATATAGATTGGTGAAACATAACAATCTGTTTTTATTAGGATGTGAATGTGAGTACAGAATAGATACCCACACTCTTCAAAGATGAAATTTTAGCTAATGAAATAGAAATATGCAGATATTTAAGGGAACTTCTATGCTATACATATTAATGTGTAAGATACATCTGTTTGCTTTTGAATTTCAAAAAAAAAAGATGAACAATCGGAGCTAACCTCCTCTAATCATTAATATGTTGGATGATTTGATTCAGTAAAGTCCATTACATCCATCTAATCTGATTCGACAAGCTTCTCACGAGTTTCGATATTACTTGGATACAAAAAACAATTTTTTTTTATTGTCATATAACTAGATCGTATACGAACAGCTTTAGTCATCATAGTTGCACTTCTTTTATTACTAACAATTTCAATTGCTAAAATTATTTTGGGTTTCCATTTGGATAATCAATGTTCATCAAGAACACGCCTTATTTTACATGTAATTGTTCAAGATGGAAATATCCTCCGCGTGAAAATTGTGTCAATGTTACTAGTAAATATTATAAATCACATGATTTCGTGTCATAGGCCTTTTATTATCTCACAATAGCAGCAGCAACAGCACGTCGATGATTATTAATCGCTTCAGGAGTTCATCGAGCCTATGCAGAATCAATTATAATTATCGGTATATTTCGGATTGTCTGATAATGACTGATGAGTTGAAATCGATTATTGATTATTTCTGTTGGAATCATATTCTCGATTATTAGGACCTTTACCAACTAAACAACGGTTTTATTGCGTAGCAGTCTAATTCAATGTCATCAATATATTGTCATAAGACACCACTTTATTAATTTTCATATGCTAGTATTATAATTTATACAATTTGTTTCTCATTATTGTGTTTTTCAATTGGCATGTTAGTAATTAAAAAATTGAAATTCTCTTGCAACATCGACACGATGGCAATGTTGACAATCGATACATCTGGTAACAACATTTATAAAATTATTGCCCTCACGAATATTGTTTGCGCATCTGTATACAGATCCATGACCTATCGATAAACAGTCTTGACTTTTTCTAATAAAAATTCCACTGAGAGAAGTATTTTCGAAAAAAATCAAACAAATAGTTTTAATGTGAAATTTTTGTTATAAATAAACTTGATAGTCTTAAAATGTTCAACGAAAAACGAATATATCTTTCTTGAAATTTTCAATATTCAAAAGAACCAATGATTTGCAATAAAAGGACGCAGCAATCGAGTCAACTTGAAAACCTAATACATTGAGAAAAACCTGATTGTTTTCTTTGTTTGTCTCAGAAACAATTTCATTACAACAGTCATAATTGTTTATCACGAGACCATGGAGTCTTTTAACCTAATCTTGCTGACGAGGGAACCTCTCAAGGTGTCAAAAAGCTTTTGAGCCCAAGTTTTGTCCATAAGTAGAGGATATATAGCCTAGAAAAAGTCTAAGAGGATATGGGCCCAAGTTGAGATTTGGTTGAGATATCGGCTTTTTACTATAGTTTTTCTATGGGACCTCAGTTTTCCCATTAAATCAAAGTTTCGAGTTTTGACGTGAAACTTTGCCCATATCAAGACGTCAACTAGAGTAGCCCATCGACAACGTTTTAGAGTTTTCGGACTAAGCATTCCCGAGATATAACGTTTTCAAAATATCCATGCATATAAAACATCTGTAAAAAACTGTGTTTATGCTAACAGACTCATATCTCGAGAGTGCTTAGTCCGAAAATACTGAAACTTTGTAGATGAGCTACTCTAGTTGACGTCTTGTTATGGACAAAGTTTCACGGCAAAACTCGAAACTTTGATTTAATGGGAAAAATGAGGTCCCATAGAAAAACTATAGTAAAAAGCCGATATCTCAACCAAATCTCAACTTGGGCCCATATCCTCTTAGACTTTTTCTAGTCTATATATTCTCTACCTATGGACAAAATTTGGGCTCAAAAGCTTTTTGACACCTCGGGAGGCTCCCTCGTGAGACCTATATCCGTAGTCATAGCATAAGGACGAGTAGTCTCCAACAATAGCATATGTTTTCTGGTTAGTTTTTTATTATTGATTCATTAGTTTGAAGCGGAAAATCCTTATCAAAATACTAATAACAAAGAATAACATATATATTTGTTTCAAATAATTCAATTCTTTATTTTCATTAACAAGAAAAAATAACGAGACAAACATCAACGAAAACAATTTTAAGATTTTCTATTATTTTGATCATGTTGATAGAATTGGTGGAATCAAAACAATATCATTTTTTTTTGTTCAAATTTCTTTGAAACTATTAACTAATTTTTGCGCCAATAGATTAGAAATATTATGATGATATTGTAAATGACATTCTAATACATTAAGTGGAATTATACGACGTCGACATGGTATATGTGTCCCACGGTGTTGACTATTTTCTGGTAAATTAATTTGCCCATTACTAAAAGGACATAGAACATTATAAAATTGATCAATTACATTTTCATTTTCATTAAATAATTTTGTTATCATAGGATCTTGATTACTGATAATAGCTTGTATCAAACGTTGAGCACAAACTTCTTTTAATTTATGCTTCTTAATGAAATGATTATATAATTGGGTTTGATAATTTTTTTCATAGCAACAAAATTTAATAGAATGATTTGCTTGAGTAAGACCATATGCTCCATTGAATGTTAATGGACATTTACCAAAGATTTTTCTGTATGGTTTTCGTTTACGTTTCTTTTCTTCTTCATTTACGTATTGATCCTAAAAAAAGTACATGTAGGATCCATTTCATAAAAAGTAAAACTAATTTTAGACGTATACAAAGGACAACCAACCGAGTTAATAATACGTATCTTATATAATGTTGTTGACTTCAATATAGAAAAGCATAACAATATCAGAAAAGATGAAGTATGATATTCATGCAAACTGGTTTCATATAATATTTGACTGAAAATGAGGTGTTTTATATTGAAAATAGGACTTTGCTATGAAGCGAAGTTTATTAACGAAAAAATTTAAATTTAAAAATTCTCTAATTCATGTGTAAAAAATTAATTTCAATAGAAAATTCGTGTTCTGGTTAATTATCTTGAAGAACAAATCTGTGAGATACGAATTTTTCATAGATTCGAAAATCAACAAATTGTTCTCTTAGAACTCGTTCTTCTGTGGTAGTACAGAAAAAAAACTGTTGAACTCCGTCAGAATTTGATCAGCTGACTCGAATCTTCTCTGGACTCGATCTCGTATTTATATAGTGACACTATTTAGAACTTGTCTATTATTGTTTCTGTTTAACAACGTTTCATAAGAACAAATAAGATTAGATTGCTATGTTTCATGAGTGATTAGATATGATATGGCAATATTGAATATATTTCAATTCAAAAATTGACTTTATCGATCCTTTTCATATATATATATATATAATTATTTTTACCTTAATAGATTTCGTTATTTCGCTAAAAGAAAGAAAAAATATGCAATCGATTTCGAATCCTTTCTAAGAAAAAAAAAGAAACTCACTCAAATGAAACAGTATCAACAAAATCATGATTGATATCCGTTGAATATTCATTATCTTAAATCAATTATGTTTGTTTTTCTTTTTAAATTTAAAGAAAATTTGGGTGTGGGTATGGGTGTGGGTGTGGGTGTGGGTATGGGTGTGGGTGTGGGTGGGTGGTGGGTGTGGGTGGGTGGTGGGTGTGGGTGTTGGTATGGGTATGGGTGTGGGTGTGGGTGTAAATATGTTTTCATCACAAACAGCCACGCCCATACCCACACCCTGTTTTGACATGCATTGATCACTAGTTTTCGATATCTAGAGAATATTTCAACAGCCATCATTTATATCATATAGCATCAGACTTCCACTTGTACGACTATATGAAAAATCATTCGAAATATTTTCGCTCGCATCGGAAAGAAACAACTAATCAATAATCATATAAAAATAATTGTTAAGCTCATCACACATCTGTAGTTACGTATTCATTGTTATTTACAAGAGAATAATGAAGGTTTTTTCTTGAAAAATCTTTATCTTGATTGTATTTGTAACTCATTTTGGATATTTCTATGGTTTAGCTAATATAAATCCACTTCAAAAAATTTCTTGTGTTTATGATTATGTGAGTGTGACTGTGGCTGTGTTTCAATTTCTTCCATACTCACATCCATACCAGCACCCTCACCTGAATTTTGCAACTACATGATCTACTTGTAATTGAAAATGTTTTGTATTTTATCAAATGATAAAATAGGTTGAGTTTTTTTTCTTACAACCAAATGATGTGAGATAGGACGACAATGTTTATACCTCAATTGAGTGCTTATCTGTTATAGTATATCAATTTTTAAACACGAAGAACAGATAGAAAGAACGAAGGAGAGAAATATTTTTCTCGCTCGTAAACATCTTTCCAACGCGTATTCATTTTATCAAATTTCAATTTACTAGATACGCTGATGGATGGTGATATAACTGGAGAACTGAATTTTTTCAACCATACAACCGACAGCCTCACTGCATGGATCGATACAAGTCACATGTCGGTTCAGCAGCCTTCGAATTTTGCACACAAATCGGCTCGTGTTACCATTTACGATCTAAGGGATAAAGAAAGCACTTTCGATGTTGACACTCATGCCTTTGAAGTACACAAATAGGATGGTCACATACACGATGAATTCGACAATGATAGCGAGACCCAGCGATCTTACTATGAAGAACTTTCAGCATTTCTCAAAAAACGTCTTGGTGCCTCTCGAGTAGTTGTCTTCAATCATGTATTCCGGTATCGAGGTCCATCACGTCCGATCGATCAATGTGATGTGAATCACAAGCATCCTGCTATTTATCCACATGTGGATTATGATGAGCCCGGTGTTCGCTTGAAAGTGAAAGAAGTCCTTGGAGAAGAAGAAGCGAAAAAATTGATGCAGAATCGATGTCAAGTGATCAATATCTGGAGACTGATTGGATCCAATGCTATCACAAAGAATCCTCTGACTCTTTGCGATTATCATTCATTAGATGTCAAGAAGGATATTCATTTCTCAGAGATTCGAGGATCCAATATTACCCTTGCGAACTATGTAGTCTCACACAATACTGAAGATGCTCAAAAATGGTACTATTTGAGTGATATACGGTCGGACGAAATGTTTGTCTTCAAAATCTTTAATACTGACCCACATGTTGCTCAGTTTTGTGCTCATACAGGATTTATCAATGATCTCGTACCAGCAACCGACGTCCAACAGATTAGCATTGAAGCATGCTGTCTTGTTTTTTATGATTAATAAAACATAAATTAATTATTTCTGCATTTCGAGTGTTCATACAAAAAGTAGATCGATAGAATAGAATTAGATAGATGTATAGGACTTGAGGGTGTGGGTGTAGATGAAATCAACACTCGAACCAACACTGACACCAACACACACACCCTCGTTTGCTTGAGATGTAGGTGTGGGAAAAAAACCTCAGCTGACGAAGGTGCAGTTAGATTTTCGACTTCAAGTTTCACTTGTGAAACAATCAAGATTTATGTCGACATCATTGGTATGACTTGGAAAATTCTTTCACTCTTTCTTTCCCTTAATTCTAAAAACTCAAAATGAGTCGAACATCAATCGAATTTCTTTTCGATAAAAATCAATGATCCATGAACCAATCACTTAGAGATTCGTTCAGATGTTTTACTACATCAGGTTTTTTTATTTTTATTACTTTGCAAACATCATACTAAAAGTCATTGGAAAAAAATCATTTATAAAAAAACTCAAACAAGAAAATATTTTCCACTTTTTCGAATCGAGACAATAATCAAAAAATAAAGAACAGCTACTTTTAACTGTCAAACGACAAAATGAATTCGACAAAAATTAGTAACAACAACATAGTTATTGATTAATAGAGTCAAAAAACCTAATTTTGAACGTCAGAACAGAATTTTTCAATAAATTTGATTTGATATGTTGTTAATATGAACACAAAAAATAAGACAATTTCAACATATAAATAACTAATAAATCATATGTAATGTTCTAAAAGAAACCAGAAATTTCACTTTTTCCTCCACATCATTCGCATGGTAAGCTGACACCATACGTACGTAGAAAACCAATTACAATCTTCTTCAAAAACATCATTTTCACAAAATGAATAATAATGCGTTGTTGCATCATTCGATAGAAGCATTCGAAATAATTCTTGTGTATGAGTTAATTTTTCATTTTTATCGATTCTATTCCATTTTTCTGTCCATTCTTCAAAATCTTCGTCATCCAATACATTTGAATAGTTAAAAATTTAAATATAACATCAATTTTAATGTACAAAAACGGAATGAAAGAGCAATTAGCTAAGTGAATTATTTACCTGGGACATTTCATGATACGTCAGCGTAATTTTTTTGATTTTCGTCGAAGAAATATTCAAGATGATTAAACATATTTTGACAAGATGAACCGCATCCACATGATGAATTACATTCATTATCATATTCAAAGCAAGAACAAGAACGTTTTGAGCAATCTTTAGTACATTGACATTTGCCCTTTTTTTTCATAATTTGGATTTTTCTCTGTTATTTTTCCATGTTTCTCCCTTGGAATATCCACACCCACAACCTCATTGAAAACAATAGAAAAATGCTATTTAAAATGCGTAATAAATCAAAACTTCACCGATTTTATTATTTCCCAATAACTATATATTGAATGAATGAAATAACATAAAAACTCATTAGAATACATCAAACGAGTATCAAACTTGCACATTTGTATGATTGAAAGAACTATAGAATACTATAACAGACCAGATATTAAGGCTCACTGAAGAAACTAGCCGTTTTCATACTATTATCGAGATGGTTGTAGAATCTTTTTATTGAGTTGCATCTATCATTTATTTAGAAAACTTCTACATTACATTACGATTAGTAAAAATAACAAATACGTAGAAGGAACATTTAATCAACATCATCAGGAATTTAACCATTTCTCAAAATAGTCACTGAATTCTGGTCGTGCTGCAGATTTTTCCTTAGTTTCACCATATTGAATCATCATCTGATAAATATCGGTAACTGTTCGTTTATTATTCTCCAGTGTTTTCAGTATATGTTTAAGTTTTGATGCTAAATTTTCATTACTACGAACTGCATAATCTAGTCTTTTAAAATGATTTCCAAGTAGCATAGCTACACATATTTGTTGTAAAAATTTAAATATTAAATCTCCACCGAATACTCCACATCCCCATTTTCCTGTAACAATAATTTCATCTTTTGATTTCTCAAATGCTGCGAAAGCTTTGCCTAAATCTCGATCAACATTATTTTTTGTAAAATGACTATTGTAACAAGCATCCAAAACAAGAATATCTTGAATATATGTTGGATTTTGTTCATGATAATGACCTTTGTAACAAAATGTATCTGCATAACCAACATAATCAATAAATCGTTTACATCCACGAAGAATAACAATTTCATCATCTTGTAATGTATCACACACAAGAATAGATAAAAATGCTTCTGGACAACAACTAACTAAAAAGAAAAACAAAATCTTAATTAATTAAAAGAAAAATTTGTTTACATAAAATTTCTTCTTGTGTAGCCGATGGAATAATTCTATGTATATGAATATGTTTATTAGCAAAATCAACAAAACCTTGTGCTTCATTAGCATCTTCCATTCGATTTGTAATTATATTAATTTTTGATGATTCTAGTAGAATATTTTGTTTATTCCGATTTGGTAATTCATTACCATATGAATATCGTTCAATTGAAATTTGTCGATCTTCATTTTGTTGTGATGACAGACGAAAATATTCAATTAAACATCGTATTCTTTCAATAGCTAAATTACCAGATAATGAATTATATAAACAATTTAAATCAATATTTCCATATCCTGGTATTGTATTAAGAAAAAAAGCATTGGCAAGAATATAACGTGCTTGTGCTGCTGTATAAACAATACTTGCTGTTGTACCTGCTTGAAGTGGATCAATTAATTTTGCTTGTGTATGATCAGAAGCCCATTTAGCTATTGTTGGAAGAAGATCATTATAAAAATCAAAATCTAATCGACGAATAGCTTGATCAAGACAAGAAAAATCTTGATGTTCTTCGTCTTTCTTGATAGGGAATAATTTGACCAATGACTGAAAATTATTATTTTCTTTTGGTATATTAAATACACATTGTTGATCTGCAATATATGTTGTGCATGTCGACATTTATTATTCTAAAAAACAATATTTTATAATAATTATATACTCTGAAAGAGCAGATATATATAAAGAACAATGATATATTATTTGACACTGTATTAGCGTGGCAATTATACCATAGAAGTATATGCAACCATCATCTATATTTGTTTGATGAGTCATTTGCAAATAAAAACGAGTACTTTTTATTATTATTGACAAGTTGTGAAATTACTACTCAGGAAGTAAATAACGGTAAAGAAAAACAATCTCTAAAAATGGCAATAGTTAGCATCATCATGAAAATCATAAGATTTCGAAAAGTAAAACGATAGATCGATAATTTTTTTTTTTGAAAAATGTAAAATATACAGTAGACTTTCTTATGCCGTTTCATATTCATAAATTTTACAATTGTAATATATATATAATTAAGTATGTTTATTGGAGTGAAACAAATCAGTGTTTCTAATGGAAATCTAAAATAAAATGTATCATAGTGTACAAAATCATATTCTCATGTAATGTTAAAAAGTTAAATAAATATTCATATCTAATTTAGTGTGTAAAAAGATACATCAATATTAAAATGAACAAATAGAGAAGAAGGGGAGAAGCAATTTTGTATTCAATTCATTTAGGAAGATATATTATACCAAAGTATAACATTAGAATATCACATGAACATCAGAATCTATGATTTGCTATTTTTCAAAATTTAAAATAATCACAAAAATCAATCAAAACTAAATTGAATTTGTTTTAACTTTCAATTTTAACTTAAAATGTAAAAGTAATTGCCGAAATCTTCAGTCATAATTCTTCGCTTAAGAACATCTTGAAAAGTAAGATAGTCTTTATCACGAAAATTCAGTTTTCAAATATTTTCGATTAAAGAGATTAAGAATAAATCTAAAAATTTTTAATAACGTTCATATCGATAGAGTTTTTGACGTACTACTTTTTTTTGAAGTATCTTTTTGTGGAAATGTAACCCATGTAGTCTAAGATAATCTAGAAGCACACACTTTTCAAGATGCAAAAAAAGTTGCAAGAACTTTTTTAAAGGTGTTTAGTTTTCGACTTTTTCTTCGTCTCAGATTCATTCTGAAAAAATATGGTTACCTTTCAAGATGTTCCCAAGCGCAGAACTATGACTGAACATTTCGATAATTACTTTTACATCTTAGGTTATTGTGCAACCACTACATAAATATTAGGGTCGAACAGACATATATCTGATTAGGAAAATACATTAAAAAAAATCGGAGTAAATTATGACATTCAACGAATTATAGAACAAATCAAAATGGGTCACCTTCTATACATTGTTTAAACATAATTTTTGGACTGAAAATAGTTTTTAAATTTCTCCTACAAAGTGTACACTTGTCATTAGAAACACTGGAGCAAACTATAATCTCTAATAATTTAAAAATTTGTTTTTGTATCATCAAATATTTACCATTAATTTTTTATTAATCAGTAATTAATCTTTCATTGTTGTCCTGGTGTTCATTTGAACCCATCCACAGAAACAAATAAAAAGGGATACTGTTGCTTTATTCAACCTTTTTATTTATGTAAGATGAAGGTTTAAATACTCTTTTTTTTTTAAATAAAGATTGGCATGCCAATTTCATTGGTGATAATATAGAGTGTGGATGAGTTTGACTGTAGTTGTAGAGTGTGAATCTTCTGCCATTGTCTACATTCATGCTCACGCCCTTAGTTATCATAAATAATTAGCTTACAAACGAATCAAAAGAAATCGATTCAAAACAAAAAGCAATTGTCAGACAATAGATGGCAGCTTCAGTAAGACGATAAATGATGCTCACATACTGTATTTCTTGTGTGGTCCATGTAGACTCATAGTACAATTTCTTCCCTTTTGAGATTAACCCTGACTTTTCAAATGTATATTATCAACCAACATAAGACTAGCGATTGGATTAGAGGACTAGTCTGAAACATGAAATGTTAATATAGTAATACATGAAAAACGATGAATTGGATCCGCTTGGACTTCACGACAATAACAACGAAGGGTTCAAGGAATAGTTTATTCTTCAACTAAATTAAACATTGATGATGATAGAATTATCAATTGATAGATGTTCACCGAACAAAATTCTAATTTTTTAAGGATAAGCAAATATAAACTATGAGTGTTTTATTCTTTGTCTTGCAGTTATTTTTCATAATATAGCTAAAAATCTGTATTTTGAATATCTTATAACGAAAATAACTTGAGTAAAAAAAATCTTTCGATGAGGCTTCCTTGAAGTATCTACATATAGTGGTCGATTTATAATATTTCGATGTATGGACGCTTGATTGTATTCTTACTGACTAAGATGTACACTACAAGATAGATTCAATTTCTTGATTAAGTTCTATTCAATCATTCATATTTCATCTTGTCGAAGAAACTGTCGGAAGTGATTCACCGCTATTAAGTCTATGTTTCTAATGTAAACCAGAGACATTCAGACTCGATCACTATAATCCAAGAACTCGAGTAAAAATTCTATCGTTCCTAAGATTTGTTTATTTTACTAAAAATTTTGTTGTTAACAAGTTTCTATAGAAAAAAAAAGTGAATTTAACCAGTTGGATTTGAAATTCCGCTCACAGCTAGGTTTAACTTAAACTAGAACGTTCTAAATGCTTCAAGATAAGTGAAAATGTCTATTTTGAATTATTAAACTTCCAAAAATTCAATTAGTCATCGAAAGAAAGCATTAATGCTTGAGATGTTTTTTAAGCTTTATGATTCGAGATAGATATATATTTATTTACTGTTGAAACTTTCATAACAGTCTAGTTTCAATGAGATCTACCTATGAAATAAAGCTCAAACTGAAATATTTGAATTCAGTTTTTCCAGAGTACTTCGCTAACCAGAAAATATTCTTCAAAGATGGTCAGATGTTAGAGACAACATCGTGCTCATTCAAATTCTTGCATCA